AAGCCCTGATTAAAGTCTATAATCATCCTTTGAGGGATTTTAATCCCTACTATAATATTGTGAGAGCTGAAGGAATATCAGTCTAAAAATGGCTCAATTCTCTTCAATATGTACGACGATAAAATAAAAATGTGTCAACATGCGACATCCTCTGCAGAAGAGAGTCACGGTGACTAAGTGGGTAAGACATTGGCTCGCTAGCCTGGAAGTCAGGTGTTTGATACCTGCATTGGCCGAGAGAGTCCATCCAGATTTTCCGTCGTGATTCCCCCTTGCAAGACAGAGGGACTGACAAGGACAGCTGTCTAGTCGTTTGGATGGGACGAAAAACCAAGGTCCTGTGTACACATTGGTGTGCATGTAAAAGATCCCTTGAAAGTGAGAATTCGATATAAGAGTAGGCCGTAGTGCCGCTGTCCGGGCAAAAATTTCCCTCACAGCACATTGTATTTGTATGGCGTATGCCCGTCTTCATTAGCCCAGTTCGGAGCAGAACAGTAGGACGTTAAACTCCATTTCATGATTTGACCAAAACAAGCCAGCGTCACCTATTTAGACAAAATCGTTTGATTGGTCTCTTTTAAATCTGAGTGAATCTAAGCTGGAAGATTATCTACCCTTAATATTTTGGTTTTGTTTACTTAATTAAATGTCAACTCTTCAATTTGAGTGTGGATTATGTCATGAAAATAAAAAATTATCCGTAAAATACAAATGACGATGCACAGATTAAATAATGAAATAATACAATAATAAAATAGAGAAGTGAAAAAACACAAGAAGTTAAATAATAAACACTCTCCATAATCACAACTTTTTCTCTCAATTCAAAATTTAAATCAATAATTCAGAAGTATTATATTGATTTTCTATTTAGTAGACATTCTTGTAAAATTTCCCTCCAAAACCAACCAAACACAAGAAGTTAAATAACAAACACTCTCCATAAACACAACTTTTCTTTGAATTCAAAATTAAATCAATAATTCAGAATTATTATATTGAGTTTCTATTTAGTAGACGTTCTTGTAAAATTTCCCTCCAAAAACAACCAATCACCTGATTGCTTAGAAATTGTAACCACAAGGCATTCACTATTATTATAATGTTGAAACCGGTTCTATAGTATTATATTGGAAGTCTGTTATAATCGCTCTATTGGGTTCAACAAGTGTGTTTTATTCAATAACGGGAAGAATAATAATATTAGCTACTATTATGTGATTTGAAATCCTACAAAATAATAGCTACTATTATGTAATTTGAAATCCTACAAAATTTATACTTGACTGCATGTTAACAGTTGCCTGCTGACGAGGAAGGATAAAATTTCAAAAAGCAATTTAATGGTGGGCAAGGGAACAAATTACTGAGCTGTATATACCGTATAGCAGGACTCATTAATCAGTTATCGAGTGCAGTAATCAAAGGGAAAATACCAGCATTTTTTACTACAGACAATGCATGTTTTTCATCTATATCGACAGATATTTTTCCTCTCCAATGACAAAAACCTCTAGGTATTTACACATCAATCAATATATATATTGCCATTAATTGTCTTGGCAGACAAACAATTTTTTAGTGAGTGAGATAAATAGAGTTTAATGACCCCTTGACAGAAACTATGTCACTTTGAGACTAACATAAGTTACAATTTATTTCAATGTGCATAGGGTCTTTAGCAATAATAGGATAAACAGGAAAAAATAAAATAGAGGTTGGGCATGTGACCCTACTCCTTAAAACGTTGGATAGAAACTACTCCACTTGAACTAATGACCTACAGGACACACCAAAAATCTGCCTATTCCATAATCTTTAGTAGCAGGGGGAGAGAGAAATGGGGTTTAACGTCCACTCGATACAAACTAGATCATTTTGGGACTAACACATGGTTCAATTTTACATCAGTAATTCGCTTGTGCATTGGGTCTTTACCAGTGGGAGGAAACCGGAGAAAACCCATGAGGTTGGACAGGTGAACCTACTCCTTGTCATGTACAACCAGGGAATTGAAACAAGGCCAGTTGACTCAATGACAGACCTTATGATACAGTGCACAGGTGCTAACCATTCGGCCATCCAAACCCCCAGTAGCAGGGCAGAGGGCAGAGGGCAGAAACTTATGAAGGTGTGCAGAGTGAAACATCAAATTAGATTATGTGTAAAATTTTCTATAGGCATGCTTTTCTGTCAACTCGGACCACCCTTGGATTTGAACTTGGACATGTGCATATATTGGAGCAGAGAGTAAATTAAAGATGCATTATGTTAAAAGTTAAATCTGTCCATTGTCCATCTTTCTTTTGGCCTCAAATGTTACATAAATTATAAATTAGACATTTATTCACATGACCAGCCCGTAATCAACTCTAAACCATCAGATGGTCGCAATTTTCTAATGATTGAAACCTGATAGCCATTTAATAATCTAATTTACAAATGGATATTTGAAATTTTTTTTTATTATCGTAAAAATCAAGACTATAATGTACTTGAAAACCTGATATCTTCGCTCAGAAACAAGCTAATTAAAGATGCATTATGTAAGAGCTAAATCTTCCCATTGCAGGACTTTTTTGGCTTCAAATGCTATAAAAAAAACTTCAAACACTGATAACTGAGCTCAGAGTAAAATAATTTGCATTAAATTTTCAATATATTCATTTTTCATTATCGATTTTTTAACTAGTATAGCAATAACGACCCGCTCTTTGTCTAAATCTTACATAATGCATCTTTAAGTCCAAATATATGATATATGTATGTGCAGATATCTTTCACCTGTACCTGGTATTTTGTATTATACATTGATCACATAGCTTAGCTGATGTATGTGAATATCTACACACAATATCCATTTTCATGGCTGCTCGGTAATTATAGTTATCAAATAATAAATTACTTCAGTATATTCACTGTATGCACGTAACCGTGTAAGTTATTTTATTATACAATATATTATCCTATTCTTGTCATAAACATAACTCGAGCCTTTTCATCATACAAATGTACTTGCCTGCCATTTTGAAATCATCTTTAATGTCAAAGTATCAATCTGACTTGTCTACGAAAAAGCCTCCATTTTCTAGATATATTTATTGATATTTTAGCCCACCAAGAAATAATTTCGACAAGAATATAGATTTGTTGGGATTTTTTTTACAAAATAATACCCTCAAACGTAATATCTTAAAATTAATACATCTTCAAATAGCATCTTATGACTTATACACACAGAGCAGATAAACAGGTTTACAAATGATATCCATTCATTATAAAAATACACGACTACTGTCATGTCTAGGAAATACATCAACACTTAAAAGAGAAGATTTTTATGTAGCAACTACCTGCATTTAGATCAGAATTCAGCCATGTTATTGCTAATAAATAAATCCTTTAGAGAGAGAAAGTGTCCACAGATAAAGATCCTATCACAAGCTAGACTATCATTAACTGTGGATATGTAGGTTTACAAGTGAACAGCCTATAGAGATATTGATTGACAGCTCGCCCATATAATTAAACTAACTGATTAGTATAAGCTGACATATAGACAGTACATAACAGCTGGCTCTTCTCTTCACTCCCCCCAACAAATACCAATTAATTACAACTAAAACAAGTCCCTGGAGAGAAGAGGGGTAGTAGGAGGTCCAGATAAAATTAAACTGTTCAATTTCAAATTTCTGACACAACACACTGAGTTATAAATAGATTCTAATCAAATATCCAAACATCTACTGGATAATACTTCTAATTTTCAGAGGCATGGAGTGGCGTGGGGTTTTTCAGAGGGAGAGAGAGAGAAAAATGGGGTTTTAACGTCCACTCGACACAAACTAGGTCATTTCGGGACTAACATATGGTTTAATTTTATTTCCATAATTCGCTTGCGCGTAGAGATCTTTAGCAGTGGGAGGAAACAGGAGGACCCAAAGAAAACCCACAAGGTTGGATAGGCGACCCTACTCCTTGTCATGTACAACCGGAGATTCGAAACCACGCTAGTTGACTCAATGACAGGCCTTATGATACAGCATGCACGTGCTAACCATTCGGCCATCCAACCCCCCTTTTTCAGAGGGAGAGAGCGGTTAAATGTTAATATTTCATAACTAACATATGAAATATTTTTTTTTTTTCAATAATCAACTTGGGTGCAGGTGTTTTAAGAAGGCAAATGAAATGAAATGGGGTTTAACGTAGAAGGCAAATGAAACCATGGAATCCCCAAAAGTTACTTCTGATCTCACAAGCATTGGATTGAATCCATGACTTGCATAATACATAACAGATAAATTAAACATCATGGCCACCCAAACCCTTAAACTGGGAAAAATATAATATCTTTCATAACGTACTGAACCTTTTAAAGGTTGCTATATATGACTTTTATTTACCTCAAGGCATATATCTTTATTAGTTGAAATGGATGACCTTGTTGCAATAGATGATCTTATTACACTCAAAGGAATTTAGCTTTAATGACTACAATTGATGGCCTTACTACATCCAATGAATATATCTTTAAAAGGTTGCAATAATGAATTAGAAACAAAGATAACAATTTTATAGGTGGCTTACATCCAGACTTTTCGCTGTTATACAGTCCACATGATTCACAACACTGAGAATGTACAATTGTTGGTCATATTCAATTCCTATTTGATAAGATATTCGAAATAATGATCTGGTTATCTTACATATATATATATATATCTAACCCTGACTGGTTGAAAAAAATTCAAATTTCCACCAATCATGCAGATCTAATGCTAGTCCAGTTTAACCAAGCACAACAAATGATAAGAGGTGTAATATCCTAATTTGCTGCATGAACTGGACTTATAAAGATTGGCATATGCCATACAGAGTGCTATGAAGGAAATTGCGCTCGGACAGCAGTGCTATGGACTACTCTTATTTTCCCCAAGAAAAATCTGACCCTACAGAAATCCCACAAACCCCAGAAGAAATAAATTTGTTCTTACCTTTTTATTTCTGTAACTAATCCGAGAGAAGACGCTAGTTTTTCTTTTCTTTCTATCCTCTTCTTTCTTTGGTTTACTTTTGTCATCACTATCTGGTGACGGAGATCTATGAGTCCTGGACTTAACATCCCTGTTAAAAAAGATTGTAAATGAATGAAATGTGGTATAATGTCTTATTTTTCTGCAACTGCTGGGCATCTTCCCCGGATAGCAGCACTGCAGCCTACGCTTATATTGAATTCCAACTACCAAGGGATCTTTTATGTGCATGCCAACATATACATGGGACCTTGGTTTTTCGTCCCATCTGAACAACTATATGTTGTCATTTGGCAGGCCCTCTTTCCTGCACCACTGACAAGGGGGAATCTTGCCTGAAAATCCAGATGAACAGTCTCGGCCAATGCAAGGATCAGGTTAACGAGTCAACGTCTGACCCGTTGAGATACTGTGGCTGACTTAAAACAATAAAGTACTTACTCGTTGAGGAAATCTCGTAAAGACATGGAAGATTTTTTAGAAGTTTGAGGAACGACTGATTCATCATCATATTCTTCAACTTCTTGTTGTCTTCGAAACAAAGCACTGAAAATACGCAGAAAACTATCTTTATAATTCTATCAAAAAATATAAAACGTTTTCATGGAAAGTTAGAAATCACAGCATTCTGTATCAGCTCCAAATTAATTACTTTTCTACAACTAAAAAACATCAGAAAGCAAACAACATTTTATCGGCAATGTTTTAACTATAAATAAACTGTTTTACTATTACTACAAATAATCTACTTTTATTTTCTAAATAAACGACTTTTATTTTCTAAATAAACGACTTTTATTTTCTTTAAAAACTGTCTTAACATCAACATATGATTATTCAACTGTTAAATTTGTTTTAATTTCTACTTTATACAATTAATTAATATTTTTCTAAATCTCAACTTTTAGGATGATCCGTAGAAAAGAACACAAAATAATTTTGTGCTTACACAATTTAGAAAAATTCCATCATAATACGGACAGCAGAAGTTTTAATAGGGTCGTTAATAAATGTGTTCGTCTGTCAACCATGCAACTCTGACGAATGCTTATAACAGGGGTCCCAGAACAAGAACATGTTCTACTTTCACAACATTCTGTATTTATTCAATCAGATGAGGAAAATTCATTCTAATCCGACAGTTGCCAGTTGCTTTGACAAATGCGCACTAGTTGCGAAAAGTTTAAATGGATTGCTTAAGAGAAGTTTGAATGAGTTGAGTTGAGTTGCAAGATTGACAATATGTCTACCTTAATGGTTGGGATAATAATTAATTAATAAAAGTTGTAATAATTAATTAATAAAAGTGGTAATAAATCAGGAAATTAATTGAATTCATCTAGCACAAGCTTCTTGTAGTTATAACCACACCATGCCAAGGATATTGTAATAGTTCTACAAGCAAAGTAACTAAATCAACAAGAAATAATTATAAACATCATTAACAAGCTAATTAAAGATGCATTATGTAAGACCTAAATCTTCCCATTGCAGGTCTTTTTTTTAGCTTCAAATGCTATAAACATCAATTCAAACACCGATAACTGAGCTCGGAGTAAAGTAACTTTTATGAAATTTTCAATATATTCATTTTTTATTATCTAATTTTGAACTATCATAGCAATAACAGCCAGCTCTTTATCTAAATCTTACATAACGTGTCTTTAACATTTGAAAAGATTTTTCTTTACAAAATTCTGATGGCATCTGTGTAAGAAAATTCAATAACATTGTCTTAATAACAAGACTATCTCTTTGATTTAGATAAAAAAAAAAATAATGAAAAAAATGGGGACTAATGTCCTGCTCTGACTTAGCTAAAGAAGATGTGCATATGCCACACAGTGTACTATGAGGGAAATTTTGCCCGGACAGCAGTGATACGACCTTGTCTTATTTCGAATTCCAGCTGTCAAGGTTTCTTTTATGTGCACGGCAATATAAACACAGGACCTTGGTTTATCATTCTATCCGAATGACTAGAGACTGTCCTTGTCAGGCCTCCATCCTGTACCACTGACAAGGGGGAACCACGCCAGAAAATCCTGAGGAACTTTCTCTACCAACATGGAGACAGAAACCGGAGACCTCATGGTTAGCGAGCCTACATCTTACTCACTGATCCATCATGGCTCTCCCCAAAATAAAGAGATAAACTGAGTTGATCTATTGTGTTAGGAACAGAATTAAAACTGCTGATCATAATTTGCATTTTTCTGACTCTAATTCATCATGGTTTGATACACACTAAAATATACTTAAATTTTCAAATGAACCTATATTGGTAAATATCAATTTGATTAAAATACAGATCCTATTTTGTTTTTTATAGTTAAAAATTTCGTTTCACTTGTCTTTACTACACTAGGATCTGGAAGAGTTTTTATTTAACCTGCGTTCTGGTTGATGTGAGGGATTAGCCAATGAAACGATCTGTTGCAGCGAGTTCTTAGCTTGAGATCCTACTAGAAACATCAACGCTGATTGGTTAATCAAATATCTGACGTCATAGGGTCAAAAGCCGCTTGTATGACCGCTGACATAACCTCCCACTACAACTGGTCAGATCTTCATTTAGTAGAGGCGATCGAAAGTATAAAAAGCGAAACCAAATATAGCTCTGTATTTTAATCAGATTGCGTAAATATGGAACGGAATTGAACCATTTTTGGACAGATATTCCTTTTGAGAGATTCAATTTTGACAATATTGACCATCAGCTGCTTTAAACGAAAATTAGTACATTGATTGTGTTTTTAATTCAGTCTTGATACATTTACAAAAATAGTCTTCAAGTTGTGCGTGCAGGTTGCGATTCGGTTGGATCATTATTATTGTAGTTGGGAGATGAAAATTTTTATCAGCATAAATTATCTACAGTCCTTACAAACAGATTTCAAAGATCTTTGACAAAATGAAATAACAGGGCTATACTATATACCAGAAAACACCGACAAACACCAGAAAACTACCGGAAAAAAACATGTTATACTGAATACCGGAAAACACCGGAAAAACACTAAATACCGGAAAACACACTAAATACCGGAAACCACCCTATATAGGTAACCCGGAGAAGGGCTATACTATAAACCGGAAACTAACCCTAACCCTAACACACAGAGGACCAGGCTCCCGGTTACCTATTTAGGGTGCCAGTCTCCGGGTTACCTATTTAGGGTATTTTCCGGTATGTAGTGTGTTTTCCGGTATTTAGTGTTTTTCCGGTATTCAGTATAAAATGGTGTTTTCCGGTATATAGTATTGCCGAAATTACACTTACATGTATCTTGTATAGACATTATGAAAATGAAATAAGAATTACAAACTATTCTACAGAATGTATTTTCAATTGAAAGGTCTAGAAACAGAATGTAAATGAAATGAGGGAGAAAGAGAGAGAGAGAGAGAGTCTAATTTAATGTCCACTTGACACACACTAGGTCATTTTGGGACTAATATGGTTCAATTTTATTTCAGTAATTCACTAGCGATTATGTGTCTTTATCTGTGGGAGGAAAGCAGAGGACCGGGAAACAAACCCACGAGGATGGACAGGAGATCCTATTCCTTGTCACATACAAGTGTGGGCTCGAAACTATGCCATTTGACTCAATGACAGACCTCATGATCTAAAGTGCAAGAGTTAAACCAATCCACCTCCATCCCCAAGTTAAATAATCTGGGGTTTAACACCCTACATTTCTGGACAAACAGAATTCAAATAGAAAAAATAATCAATAAAATTCAAATCTAGAAAATAACAGATGGCATAAAAAAAATGAAGGCAGAAAGTAACAAATGGCAAAAAAATGAAGGCAGAAAGTAACAAATGACAAAAATAAATGAAGGCAGAAAGTAACAAATGACATAAAAAAATGTGACAAAGCTAACAATCAAAAAAGAAGTTTGTAAAAGAATGATGAAGTAAGGGATATTGTCAGGCAGAGTTCCTCAGGTGCATGTTACTTTGTTATAATATGTGTCTGGTTAAACATGTCTGGTACTACTAGTTCTGTTGCACGTGACAATTCATCAGGCATAACTAAAATCATTACTTCACGGTCTGCGATTTTGATTTAATTCAATTTAAATGAATACTCATTTATTCAGACTATCCTAAACATATGACACTTTCTATTGATAAATATAACATAAGGCTTGAAGCAATTTCTAATCTTGACATGTAGGTTGGAGTTATTTCCCTTCCCTTGAAGCTTTCTGTGACCATAAATAGACAGGGTTCTATAAAATAAATCCCCAGAAGCATTAGTTTAGTTAGCTATTTTTCTTAGTGCATTATATATATTTTAAGCATATTACATTATTGATGGCTATAAAAGGATTATTATCATTTAATGTGCCTCAAATTTCATCAGTAGGGGAATGAGAAGCGTCCTTAAAATATACTAATTTGAATTTTTTCGTTGTTCGGATATAGCATATCTTCTCAAACCGATATTGAAATACCATAACTGGGAGAAATGCAGATGTTGAGTTAGTTTAAGGGAGGAAAAATAAAGATGCTGTTAAAAATATTTTACAGCATCCTTAATAATGCATTTATTGACAGACACAAACAAAAGAAACAGTTATGACATTTTAATATGGTTTGATTATAACGCATGTTTAATAATAAAACTATGCAAATGAAATGAATTGAGGCTTAACGACCTATTTTTCTGCATCGACCACGCTAATGAAGATGGACATATGCCATTCAATGCGCTATGCGGGAATTCTGTGTGGACAGCTGCCAATAGCATACACAGGACCTTGATTTTTTGTCACATCCGAAAGACTAAACACTTTTCCATGCCAAACATTCTGTCATGCAAAACTGACAAGGGGTGGAACCTGGTAGGAAAATCCAGAGAATCAGTGTCTAAGTTGTTCCAACAGGACGAAAAAATAAGGTCTTAGGTCCTGTACACATTAAAAGATAGAAATCAATGAAGACTAGACTGAAACGCTGATGTCCTGGCAAAATTTCCCTCAAAGCACACTGCATAACATATGCCGGTCTTCAATAGTCCAGTTTGTTCAGATAAGTAAGATGTTAAACCCCATTTCATTTCTTTTTTTATTTCCAACAGAAGATTCAAAATCGTCTGCCTAAAACTATAAATGTTATAACTAGACTTTCTTCAAAATGGACATTTCACATCATCTAAAAAACAGCTTTGTTTTCATTATAAATGAAGTCTACAATGTTAGTAAGTATAGTCTTATTCTGATATATGTTAATAGAAAGATTATCAAAAACACTCTTTATTAAAGAATACAGAGCTTCAGGTATAATTTCTGTATGTGTTATATAAAGCACTGATCTTAGACTCGTATAGATATGTATAGTAGGCCTATAGTCTATAACCAGTAAACAATGATTCTTCTGCTTTAAAGGCTTGAAGTTCAAATATCAAATTTCTCACGGCTGAATACACGCTAAATATGTACTCAGATTGATAACATTTAATTAACAACAAAATCAACACTATCAATGTTAGATAATCTCCTAGCTTGGATTAAACCAGGCCCCATCATCTGTAAACAAGCCAGGGCCACTAAACTACAGCCTACTCTTATTTTGATAGCCAACTGTAAAGGGTTCTTCTACATGTACACTAATGTGTACAAAGGACCTCGCTTTTAAGTCCCATCCAAAAAACTAGACAATGTTCTTGTCAGGCTCTCCATCCTGCACTATACATACTATAGGCCTACTAAACACCGATAAGATTTTCCAGTGATATAAAGCATGCTGTTTATAATAGTAACAGTCTAAGATAGTCTAGCAGTTTAAATCAGATATAAAAATATGCATCTGTATTTTAATGAATTGTAAAGTTTAATCTACAATTAACTATAATACAATTCAAAACGTAGACGTGTATAGAAAAGTTTGAAAGTCTGGAAATAAAGCAATTGTCACAGACATTGTCAGGCACAAATTGAGACTTTTTCAGGAACAATCCGTCTGATGCCTGTCTTTATGTAAGGCACAGATTCGTCTTTTATCGGTGTTTTTTTTTAATGATATTTATCAAGTTTAAATTGTCAGGTACTATTCAGTAGTGCCTGGCATTTTGTCTGTTACGACTAAATCCATTATTTAAATCGTCAAATCCATTATTTAAATCGTCAGTTAATACTCATAAATGCCAGATATTTGGACTGGTACGACAAAAACCTTTATTTCCAGGTCTAATAGTATGTAATTAATACATGCAGAAAGATATATTATATATATATAGATAATAATGAAAGTGTGTAGATATAGATTATACACAATGGCCGACAAACTCACTCATGTTCTTCAACAAGTTTTTGTATAACAAGATAAGACTGGTCACCAGGTCTGAAATTGACCAGTAGGTACATTAGGTCAAACCCAACAACCACATGAAAACATAAATACTTGACATTCTACCATAACTTCTACCATTTTATTCAGAAGATGCAAAGCATAACTGGAATAATCAGGACAGTTCTATGGAAGACACTTGCTTTTGTGATAAACTTGAGTAAAGGACTTAATAATGGGGACTATAGGAGACAATGCAGAAGTGATTAAGACAGAACTTCATATTGTAACAGCATGGAGGGAAATGAAATAAAATGGGGTTTAACATCCTACTGTTCTGCCCCAACTGGGCTAATGAAGACGTGCATACGCCATACAGTGTGCTATGAGGGAAATTTTGCCTGGGCAGCAGCACTATGGCCTACTCTTGTATTGAATTCCGACTGCCAAGGGGTCTTTTACGTGCGCGCCAATGTATACAAGGGATTTCGGTTTTTCGTCCCATCCGAACGACTAGACAGCTGTCAGGCCCTTCGTCCTGCACCACTGATAAGTGGGAAACCATGCTGGAAAATCCTAATGAACTTTCTCAGCTTATGCAGGGATCTAACACTCAACCTCCAGGCTAGTGAGCCTGCATGGAGGCAGGCTGACCCTAGTTACTTTATGAGCAGTGCCTGTAATATTATAAATGGTATTTAGATCATATTTCAACACTTTCTGAATTTGAATCGCAACTACATTTCTACTACGATTCTCTTGTCGTTTTCAAGCATAAAACAGTACAGAACTTTTAGTTTTTAATGTAGACAGATGGCCAAATCACAAATCAAATCAATGTATCAAATTTAATTGGTTAAGGTTTCAACAATTCCTATTTTTATCATGAAATAAACAAAGAAATTATGGTAAAATGTCAAAAACAACAATTAAACGGAAAAAAAAAAGAAATAAAAATACCCAAATATACCATGACGATATATACAAAACTTATTCACATGCATGTCTTATATTGTTTTATGTGCTTTTTACTTGATTGTATTTTACAAATGAAAACAAAGACTTTCTCAACAGTGGCACAGCTAGAGTTTGTACCACACGGAACGATCCTAAAATAGCAGCCCAACCCCCGCAAATTAAATAAACATCGGCTGTCTAGAAGCGTGAAAACACATTCAATGGTTTTATACCGACATTGATTCAACTAAATTCACAGCATGCTTCCCAAATTTAAAAAGACAATATGCTAAAGAATATTCTGAGTGTTTCACTGTTTCAGTCAATTCTCTCAAATTCTTCATGTCTCTGAAGTCTTGTTGCTTGAATACCGAGGAGAACAAAATTTGCCGTTCATTGCGATTTCAAATCATGTATCTTTGAAACTAGAGAAAACATTTAATATTTTTTTTAATGCATATTATCTCTTTAATGCCTTGAGTCTCCTAATAAAAAATCAATTTAAAAAAGCTAACATACTGTTTCCCTTCTCGATTTGGTTCCCTTCTTAAACTTCTTTTACGATCATCTGGAAAATAAAAAAAGTTTTCCGTTAATTTAAGACTAAGGAAAACTAACTAGACTTAAAATTCTGAACCCAAGGGAGTTTAAGAAACTTTATTTTATCCATGGCCAACATCATTAATCAAGAGATTCATTAATCCTGGTGGAGATCATGGTGCCTAAGTGGGTAAGATGCTGGCTCGCTAGCCTGGGGGGCGGGTGTTCGATCCCTGCATTGCCCGAGAAATTTTATCCAGATTGTCCGGTGTGATTCTCCCTTGTTAGTGATGCAGGACAGCTGTCTAGTCGTTCAATATAAGAGTAGGCCGTAGTGCCACTGTCCGGGCAAAATTTCCCTCATAGCACACTGTGGACTAAAGTCGTTTCCGGGGACCCTCCAGAAGCGAGTGTAAATAATGTATGGATGTCTTCAGGATTTTTCTATTTTTGTTTCCCGATTCTGTGTATTAATGGTCCTGCCATTATAGTAGACCTAAAAAAAGTTTCAATCAATGGGGACTAAAGTCGTTTCTGGGGCCCTCCAGCAACGAGCGGAAATAATGTATGGATTTCTTCATTTTCAAATTCCAAAACCACAAAGCTGGCAAGACAACAGAACTATATTCCTAAACAAATTAAACTGGAAATAAGCACAAAAATAAGGCACCAGTGACCGATAATGATGGACATAAATTCAGGCTTCGTTAGGCACAATTCCTCTGGTACCTGCCATTATGTCCGACATTTGTTTCTCTCTGGCGTTTATACTGATATTGATAATCAGACACTAGTTCATTTTAAAATGTTGGATAGTTTGTCAGGTACAACTAACAATATTTTTTCCAGGCCTGAAAGTCTCAAAATGAAAGAAACTCATCACTGTTGCCATGGCGTTTGGTGTTGATCACCTTGATCAAAACAATAATATGTGATAACTATTGTTTGACTGTCATAAAGAGCAGCTACTTATAATAACCATATCAAGGCTGAGAGAGATAGAGAGAGAGAGAGAGAGAGAGAGAGAGAGAGAGAGAGAGAGAGGAATGGGGTTTAACATCCACTCGACACAAACTAGGTCATTTGGGGACTAACACATGGTTCAATTTTATTTCAATAATTCGCTTGCACGTAGGGGTCTTTACCAGTGGAAGGAAACCGGAGGACCCAGAGAAAACCCACGAGGTTGGACAGGCGACCCTACTCCTTGTCGCGTACAACCAGGGAATCGAAAACCTTGCCAGTTGACTCAATGACAGGCCGTATGATACAGCGCGCACGTGCTAAAACAACAAATTAAATATTATTTGTTAAAATGCAGTTACCAGAAGAAATAACGTTATCGTTGGCAGCAGCAGCAGCAGCTGGTATAGACGGTGTTGATAAAGATTTTGTCATATTGGAATGTGGTACGCTCAAGCTACTGTCTTCTTCATCGTAAGATCGCACGGTTTTAGTTGCTTCAACAGAATACGTTCTAAATGCTATATCCTTATGCGTCTCCTGAAAATAAGGACAGTTTATGTTAAAAATATCATAAAATATGAAAAGAAAAAAAGGGTTACAATCATATTAAGACAATGAACACAAACAAAGTTCATAATCAAAGAGAGACGAGAGAAATGGTGTTTAACTTTCACCCAACACAAACTAGGTCATTTCAGGACTTACATATGGTTTAATTATATTTCATTAATTCGCTTGAGCATAGAGGTCTTTATCAGTGGGAGGAAACCGGACGACCCTGAGAAAACCCACATGGTTAGACAGGCGACCCTATGTGGAAGGTGGAAATATATACTATTAAAAAAAAGTAGGGGATATTTGATTTTTAAGTGTTATTAAAGTCACCTAATGAAACTGACGAAGAAACAAATGACAAAATGAAATGAAGTTCACATTCATCGATTTATTCCAAATGATCGTTAGACTAAGTAAGGCACAGACTGACCATTATAAGGGTAAAATGATACCCGGGGTCAAACAGCAAAGTTACCACAGCATCACAACCAAGTCAGTAACGGGTAAATCCTCCTCTGTTTGCCAAACAAGCATTGATCCGACGTGGCATACTCCTAATGAGACGTCTAAGGTCATTTTGGTCCAGATTGTCCCATTCCTGTTGCAACGCAACAGCAAGTTCTTGGACATTGGGAGGACGTTGTTGACGTTGACGTAACCTCTGTCCAAGCATGTCCCAGACATGCTCGATGGGGGAGAGGTCGGGACTCAGTGCTGGCCAAGGTAATGTGGGGATGTTCTGTTGTTGAAGGTAACCTGTAACGATCCTGGCCCTGTGACATCTTGCGTTGTCATCCTGGAAGATGAAACGGCGGCCATGACGTCGTGCGAACGGCACAACATGGACTGCCAAGATGTTGTCCCGGTAGTACTGGCCTGTAACACGCCCTGCAACAACATGTAAAGCCGTTCTTCCAGCAACAGTGATGCCTCCCCACACCATAACAGAACCACCCCCAAATCGATCATGTCTGATGACGTTAACGTCTTGGAAGCGCTCCTTTCGACGACGCCACACCCTCCTACGTCTGTCCAAAAAATCAACAGTGAACCTTGACTCATCTGAAAACATCACATTGCTCCAGCGTCGATTATCCCAGTGTTGACGATCCCTACACCAACGACGTCTTGCCTGAATGTGATGATCTCTCAAACAAGGGATCACGCGAGGACGTCGGGCGCGAAGGTGACCCCTATGCAGTCGATTCCGAATCGTCTGGCCACTCACTCTCACACCAGTGTCTGTTTGAAGACGAGCGCTGATCTGATTTGCTGTGATGTCACGATTTCTCAAGGCCAAGGTACGGATAAATCGATCCTGGGCTTGAGTTGTCGCCCTTGGTCGACCTGAGCGTGGTCTGTCCTTTACAGATTGTGTATCACGGTATCTGGACCATAGCCTGCTTATGACAGACCGAGAAACATTCATCGTCCGCGCCACAACCGCCTGTGTTGTGCCGATCTGTAGCATGCCAAGGGCACGTAACCTTTCATTTTGGGTAAGCCGACGCATATCAAAATTTGTTTTCTGGTCACTAAAACAATTAAACTGATGTTTCCACCCTGGAATTCAATGCCACAATGACTGTAACATTCAAAGTCAGAGTCGTGCAAATCTTGGGTTGGACCCCCATGATGATCCCAAGCATCACCTGCATTCCATGCGGTAGCTATTGGTGCGTTTGGGCGTCACATGTAACTGGAAATGTTTCTTCTGTTAGGTTCTATAGTGACTTTTTTCGTAGTCATTTGCATATTTTAGTATTATGCCCCCAAAATCAAATATCCCCTACTGTTTTTGAATAGTATATATAGGGCTCATCCTCTCATTGTCCTAATGGTTCAGATCAAATATGAAAGAAGTCTGCAAAAGACATTACACTCCATTTCAATCTTTGTTTATTTCATTCCATGTTTGATTCTATGTGTGAATCCTGGTTTAAAGACAACAATTCTAAAATTGTGCAAAGCTTTTATGCTAATTTGTCTGTTGCTATATATTTGTGAGACACCAGGGTAAGTTTGTGGATTAGGAGTAGGTATCCATAATCCTGAACTCCTGATAAATGAAGTTTCTGTGTGGAAATGAATAAACACCCCTACTAATTTATCTCCCAAATCGGTCAATAAAGTATGGTTACACTTATCTCACCTCTTTCATAGAATCAGCACGAAGTGGTGGGTCTGGGTAAGACCGGACTGAGGGCCCCGAAACTGCTCCTTCGCTCACAATCGGGTTATAGTAAGAACTGGCATCTGGCATATCTTTGGCTGAAAAAATTCAAATTATTGAAAAAAAAAAATTAATTATGTTTATTAAGGATGTATCTTTATGGGTGTCGTGCACAAGGAAGTTATGCTTTTGCAATGCCTGAAACAATTTGTCTATGGGGTTAGTTGTGAGGAAGGATGTTTGTCTTGTAAAAAGTCAGTAGTAACTATGTTTTATTAGCCACCCACTGGTGACAATTTATTCACAAGTTCAGATACAAATTTAAGCCTTGTAATGCGCAATTCCTCTCTGGTACCAATTTGTCTTATATTAATAAACAAAGTCTAGATTATCCATTTCTAAATTAAATCATTAAACGGCTGAACCATTCTAATCTACCTAATATCAGAGCCATCCGATGGCATCAAGAGATGATTACGATCGTTTCATGTTAATTAGAGTCTAATTAATAGTTTATAACATTTCAGGCCTAAAGAAAGACCTGCAGATTTAGCTCTTGCATAATGCCTGTTCATTTAGTCAGGTACATAACAAACAACAAGATTTGTTGAACCTTTGTATTTTAAATGTTGTTTATCTCTTTGTTTGTTTTGTATGGATGTTCACATGGCAATATTGTTTTTACCTCGAATACAATAATAATCTTATTATAGAAATCTGAATTTCTAAATACATACATTCCCTCAAACAACATTCCTAGACAGTTTTCTTATCTCCATCGGATTTTAATAAAACAAGTAAAAAGAAAAAGAAACAAAGCCTTGTACCCCACGGTATAGTAAACACATGGATTATTTCATTGGACGAGAAATAGAAAACGGGGCAAAAATTTGACAGGACGTCCAATTATCAAATATTGCAGTCACATTGTTGCCATCAAAACAAACATTTGGCCAACAATACACAGACGTCTTCCACGAAAAAAGTAAATTTACACAATATCCGGATTAATCCCAAACTCCACAGGAACTAAATAGATAAAATAGTTGTAATTTGTCAATTAATTCTAGGGTCAGTACATGATGTCTCCATGCAGAGTACGATCTAGTTTTCTTGTGAAAAAAAATATTTAAGAAAAGATGTTTGACATCTTTGTAAAACATTTATTTCGATAATCTGTCGACTAATCGGGTTATGAATGTTAAAGTTTTGTGGTCTTTGTTGTATAAACATCAGCTGTTGGTGAGGCAGTGAAGAGAATAATCAATGTCAAATTTTCCGTTGAGTTTGCATGAAGATGAAATGAACTGTAAATATTTTCACATGAATAACAAGATGGACCATAGATGATGTTAAATCGACCTGTCGCCTTCAGCTAGTGGTCCTGTCAACATCGAAGAATTTATTTCTACACATTCAGTGCATTTGATAATAAGGACAATAGGGGCTTTCACTTCAAAATTTTGCCACGGTGGCTCAGTAAGTCAAATATTTGCTGGCTAACCTGGAGGTTCCATGTTCATTGGCCAAGAAAGTTCACGATTTTTCGGCTTGGTTTCTCCTTGTCAGTGGTGCAGGACAGAGGGCCTGACAAAGTACAGTGTATTGGATGGGACGTGAAACCAAGGTCCAGTGTAAACATGCACATAAAAGATCCCTTGCCAGTTAGAATTCGATATAAGAGTAGGTTGTAGCACCACTGTCTGGGCAAAATTTTCCTCATAGCACACTATATGACATATGCAGAAAAGTAGGCCATCAAACCCCCATTTCATTTTCAAAATTTGGCCAGCCAATCAATTATCATTATCTCTATTGAAAATTCGGAATGAGGATACACCACAAGGTAAATTTTGCCAAGACAGTGACATTTCCGCATACTCTTCTTTCATAGAAACCCAACTGTCAAGGATTCAATGTAAGACGAGATATCAGTTTTTCATTCCAACCCAATGACTAAATGCTTTTCCTTGCTGAGTCCTTTGTCTTGCACCACTGACCAGGGAGTTTCTGGGATCGAACCATGGACCTCTTGTTTTGGCTAGCCAGTGTCATACTCTCTGAGCCACCTTGGCTCCATGTCCCTTTAAATTAAATATTTACCTGGTGGACTGGACCCTGTCACAATAGCTGGCGAAAAACTTCTATCATAATAAGTTGTAGCGGTATTATCACTTTTGCGCTGCTTATCGACACTAGTGCCGAGTTTTATCCGAGAAAGACTGGGTGTGGCTTGTTCCCTGGCATCCTGATAATCTTCTTCCGAATCATCATCAGCTCCGTCCAAACTATTCAGACTCATACTGTAATTAGAAAAAAATCATGTGATGTAAATTTCTAACAAGGACAATAACTCTAAAAGGTAAGTACCCAACACTTTGTCTGCTACAACTGAAAGCATTATTTCCAGATCTGCTATCAGACAAGTTAGCAGAAGCCAAGCACTAAAACCATTATTTCACAGTCCTGTTGTAAATACCTGTATTACAAACTTCTCTCTATGATGAATGACAGACCATATTAATATTGACATGCTCTAATCACCTTGACGGCATACGTCTGACATTTTGTACATTGACATTAAGTATACGAGTCAAGTCTGTCCTTTCTTTTTCTACTAACTAACATGGAATAAAGTCAATTAAGGTTTTATCGATCTTATATTTACGTGCTGACTAATTTGTACTTACAGATCAACCAAATGTCTCAAGTACTTGATTAAAAAATTTATCATGGAAAGCTACACCACTGGAGTAAAATTAAGTCGGTGACAATTCTTATTAAATTCAATATGTCAGTCACTCCTTCGTTAGTTAAAATGAAATAAAATGTTCTTTTTTTTCAGCACTAACTGTATCAGCATCAGTAAGACAGAATAACAGCCACACCCGCTCCCCCCCCTCCCCACTTGCCTCTAAATATGACTGATTTTCTGATTTTGACAAAAGACAACAGAAATGAAAATAAATTGGAATGGGGTTTAACATTCTACATTACTGCTCCGACTGGGCCAATTTCGAATTTCATCTGCCCTTTTACGTGCACACCATCGAACCTTGCTCTCCCCCCCGCTCCTGCACTAATGACATTGGGGAATCCTGCCAGTTTTGGCCAACACTGGGATCAAATGTGGGACCTCAATGAACTACTGCAGCTCCCTAAAGAACAACAGAAATTGTTCAAATTCAACAGAAAACAAAAATAATTCAAATTCAATGTGGTAATCAGTTTCTGATTTTGTCTAAAGACAACCATCAGGCGATCAACAACTATCAGCGTAAAAACATTGTACTTTTAACGTCGTCAATAAATCCATTTTTCAAATATAAACTAAAAGTAGAGGAAATTTGAAGACTAGACAAGTTTGATGGATCTCCAATAATGCGGTTAAACAATGATGGCTCGGACTCGCAGACATCATGTCTCATCTACATAAGAATCTCAGCAGATTAATAAATTAATCAGTTCTAAGACTTCTCTTAAAAATAAAATACCTTGTCAGCATAAATGATTATTTACAGAAAAATAATTTGTCATAAGAGTGTTGTTACGACACTGAGATCAACAAGTCTCTGTATTTTAATAAATGATGTCTGGCCTTGCAGAACTCATTACACATGAAATATCGATCATTTTAATAGAATTTGTCTATGAAAAGATTTTTCTATGACAGACCCTAAGGTTGAAAATATAAGAATATTGAATATGAATAGTGCAAGAAAATATGTCACAATAGATTTCTATTTAAAAATGTCACGGCAGACTTCAATTTGACCACAATGTTGTGACAGGGTTAAATTTAACCACAATGTCGTGACAGGTATCTATTTAACCACAATGTCTTGACAGGTATCTACTTAACCACAATGTCGTGACAGGGTTAAATTTGACCATGCCAAGGCCAGGGTTAAATTTAACCACAATGCTGTGACAGCGTTATTGTTAACTGCAATGTCATGACAGGGTTCAATTTAACTGCAATTTCACAACTGAATTTAATTTGACCACAATGTTGCGACAGCGTTCATTTTAACTGGAATGCCAGGAGAGGGTTCAATTTAACTGGCATTTCACAAGATAGCTTTCAAATTTAACAGAAATGTCAAGGTAGGGTTCAATTTAACCGGAACAGAATGTCATGACCGAGTTGAATTACCCAGTATGTCATGATTGTAACCCTAGATTGCATTGCATTTAGCGAGACAAGGTCATAGATTTTTTAAATAAAAATTCTTCAGATTTCCCTTCCTGTGTACAAGTTCGCGCACCTGTAAAAGAGCCCTTGACTGCTGGAATTCAAGATAAGAGAGGGCTACAGTGCCAATGTCCGGGCAAAATTTCCCTCATAGCACACTGTATGGCGTATGCCCATCTTCATTAGCCCAGTAAGTGCAGTAAAGTTGGATGTTAAACCTCAGTATCCCGACATTTGTATGTGACAGATAATGGTATGAAATATGTGACTAACAATTCTAGCCTTAAAGAAACTTGATCAATCTAAGCTAGGTGGGGATATTTAAACAATCCAAGCACATCCTCAACAACCATAATTGCCAATTAGTGCAACCTGATTTCTGAAAGCAAACAAGTGGCTTAGACTACAAAAACTACAACTCAACATGACTTTCAAGATTTGTTGTAACCGCAGACATCATAGCAATTTCTATGATCGACATTTACTCAAATTTCAATTTAACCTATGTGTACCCATTGCATTTGCTAACAAAACATATAAAATACAACAAAACGTACAAGAGAGGGAAATGAGGTTTAACGTCCACTTGACACAAACTAGGTAATTTCGGGACTAACATATGGTTCAATTTTATTTCAATAAATTGCTTGCACGTAGGGGTCTTTGGCAGTGGGAGGAAACTGGAGGACCCGGAGAAAACACAAAAGGTTGGACAGGGAACCAAAACCATGCCAGTTGACTCAATGACAGACCATATGATACAACGTGCATCCAACCCCCCACAAAATACACAACAGAATAGATCATTAAACATAATCATTTCAGTTTGAATTGGGGGGAGGGGGAGGGAAGGAGGAGGAATAACAAATGCAAAATATATGACAGCAAAATATGGGATACTGGTAATTTTTTCCTGCATTTCAAATCGCTTGGGCTCTATAATAATCCTATTTTTTTTCATAGTAATTACAAATTCTGGAGTCAATATGTCTCTAAATTATTGTTAATACGAATTTAAAATTAAGCCAAAAACCTGTAATTTTTATTTTCATGATTTAAAGACCTCCAACCAGGGATTCCAATCCAATGATTTTCTGTTTTATAAATGATAGTAGGGATACAGCGTAAACTATAATTACGGAGATATAAACTGGTTCTTATAGACAACTAGATTACATTAGGTAGAGACAGAATGCTCAATAGGTTGTCGTCTGAATAAATCAACATTAAATACATTTGATTATATGTTGTAGGATCAATTCATTAATTTACTGATGGATGCGTTCATTTCTTCTTTTAAAACTTTTTATGAGAGAGAGAGAGAAAGTTTAACACAAATTAACTAGGTAATTTTGGGACTGACCTAAATGAAATGAAATGAAATGGGGTTTAATGTCCTACTGTTCTGCTCCTATGCTGGGCTAATGAAGACAGGCATACACCATACCGTGTGCTATGAGGGAAATTTTGCCCGGGCAGCGGCACTATCGCCTACTCTTATATCGAATTCCAACTGCCAAGGGATCTTTTACATGCATTCCAATATATACACAGGACCTCGGTTTTTCGTCTCATCCGAAGGACTAGACAGCTGTCCTTGTCAGGCGGGACTGACCTAAGGTAAATCTTATTTCAATATTATCTTAGAAACAGTGAAAGTTCCCTTTCCCCAAAGTGTCTTGGAGGATCATCGGATGATGAACTGGTAGTAAATGATTCCCTTATGTTTGTTATATTTTAGAACACCCCATAATTTTTAATCTGTAGATGATCAAATGTAGTGCTCCCGTTTCAATTTACATGTCAAAAAACTATGAGTTCTTCCAGTAATACTATTTCAATCTTTTAGATTTAATCTAGCTTGTGGATTTCATATATATGAAAACGTTGGCATACAGGACTGTTTTCATCACCGGACACTGAATTTTCCGAATATGTCTCTAAAGGGTACTTTTATGTATACAGGTCGCTAAGTGAAACTATGTTTCTAATGAAGCTTCTTTATCTCCTTCATGATGAATATTATACCAAAAAGTGACAATCACTGTTTTTGGAGGATTTGAATATTGATAATATTAAGATTCTTGGTACTATATGTAACTGTAACCTATCAATATATGCATTGTTTCCTATTCCTGATTCCATAGACAAGATTAGCAATCTGCTTCCATATTAATTGTTCAATCCTCTCGGATTTAATTATGTACGTGTAACATATTTTGGATAGTCAATTATTTAAGAAAGTTGTATTATGATTGTATTAGAATATTTGTCTTGAAGATTCTGGTTTGAATTTGACCCCTAATGTTCAAAAAGTACTTAGTGGAATAGAAGTGCCTATATTTTCAAGCATATGAATATTTGGGGGAGCTCTGAGCTGTGACATTAAACCACATGCCAGGCCAATCCATTATTTGCGTCTACTCTGTGAAAATTGAACCTGATTGAATGAGGGAAACCTGGGCAGTTAGTGCGTTGCAGATGCTATTATTTTATCATTTTGCCTTTAGCGCTGGTCACTACAGACAGACTTAATAATATTAAATTATAAGCTTGTATGTAATCATCTGTTATTAACGAAATAATCATAACCTGAGTTAATCAAGTTGCTGGTCAGCTCAAACATATGATATAAATTACTCGTACCTTTTGCCAGTAAGAGCCAACATTCTAGCTCTGGACGTTTGACGATTAGTCTGATCCGAATCTTCTAGGTTGTTATTATTAGGACACCAGCTCCGTCTTCTTGGACAATTACCGTTAACCTCATTACTGCTATAAGTTGAATTTAAATATCCGTCTGAATAATTATCACCTTGTAACTGATCAGCGTAATCCGTAGAACTGTCGACAGTTACTCCGTTGATACAGATTCGGATATTTGGATCTACAGTGTCTGTAGACAAATTGGGAGACAGAAAGTTCCTGTTATGATACTGGGTGGTTTCCACGTCCAGACCTTCATTTTGTTGAGAATCTTCAGCCAAGTCAAGCATAGACTTATGATGATCTGAAAATAGATACAAAACTTGTTTATAAATAATATTTAACTAAATAAAGAATTGAAATGAATATGGCACGTCAGCTCCAACCGGGCTATATTGTGCCAAATATATGGTGAATATTACGAGACAGGATCAAACAAACTGTTAAGTCACCGATGACTGATCTTCACCTGCAATTTTTAATGGTTTAATCCATGCCAACATGTACTTAAATTGATTATTTAACCTTTAATTACAAATGCATTATGTAAGAGCTATATCTGCTCTTATTGCAGTTTTTTTTTTTGTATTTTGGCTTCAAATGTTACATAAACTATTATTTAGACATCTATTCACATAACAAGCCTGTAACCAATTAGGCCATTAAATAAATTAGAACAGCCGTGAGATTTAAAAATTTAATGATAAATGAATAATAATCGAAACTTAGTCTCGATTGTCAAGTAGGGTTGCTATGATAATAAACAATCCAAACTACATCTTGTCAAAACTTCAAACACTCGTAACTTTGCTCAGAATAATTTCCCTTTTCATTATCTATTTTTGAACTCTCAGCTCTTTATCTGAATCTTACATAATGCACATTTAAGAAAATAAAATATGATTCGTTTGAATTCAGGGGGGTTGGATGGCCGAATGGTTATCACGTGCGCGCTGTATCATAAGGCCTGTCATTGAGTCAACTGGCGTGGTTTCGAATCCCCGGTTGTACGTGACAAGGAGTAGGGTCGCCTGTCCAACCTCGTGGGTTTTCTCCGGGTCCTCTGGTTTCCTCCCACTGCTAAAGACCCCTACGCACAAGCGAATTATTGAAATAAAATTAAACAATGTGTTAGTCCCGAAATGACCTAGTTTGTGTCGAGTGGACGTTAAACCCAATTTCTCTCTCTCTCGTTTGAATTCAAAAGATTTTACCCAAAGATGAAAAGGGATTCCTCCTCAATCCATCAAGTGACAATCAATTCCTTTAATGTCTGAATCTCAAAATTCATCACATTGTTGTAAATACCAATCAAATGAAACTGGATCGTTTTTGGACCGATATTCCTTCTAGAGATTCAACTTTCACAATATTTCAAAGAATTTATTTCATACATGAATCATACTCTTTCTAGAATATAATTAACATAATTAACTTAGAGAGCGCCTAAAATCCAGCTAAGAGCTGATCGGTGGCGTTTTACAAAGGTAAAACAATGACATAGAGAGAGAGAAATGGGGTTTAACGTCCACTCAACACAAACTAGGTCATTTCGGGACTAACATATGGTTTAATTTTAATAATTCGCTTGCGCGTAGGGGTCTTTAGCAGTGGGAGGAAACCGGAGGACCCAGAGAAGAGCCACAAGGTTCGACAGGCGACCCTATTCCTTGTCACGTACAACCGGGGATTCGAAACCACGCCAGTTGACTCAATGACAGGCCTTATGATATAGCACACGCGTGCTAACCATTCAGCCATCCAACCCCCCAACAATGATATACATTATACAAGTTAAAATATCACACACAAAATCACAATTACAATAAAAGACAAAAGGAAGGACATAAAAACAGTGTAAATGGTTGAGACTAAACTAAAAATAATGTTATAAATTAAAACATTCTTTCAATAATACAGTTTTAATTTGCCTTCTAAATTCTGAAATATCACTTAAGAGGAAGCTTATTCTACAAAAATGGAGCTGCATATGACAGACAGATCTTTTGTCAAAAGTAGTGTCGGGTATAACATAACATCCTATACCACATTTAATTATTATCCATCCTCATAAAATATTGTTAGAGCCACATATTATCACAAAATATTGTAATACTCAAATGAAAAATAAATCTTAAGCTTATTTCATACATGTAGCTTACTCTTTCTAGAACACCTCATACCATTACTAATAAATATTGATCCTAATAAAATATTATTCAAGTCACATATTATCACTTGTCGATAACACTCAAAGCATTCTTCCTTTTAGAAAACTCTTTTTGTTAATAATCTTATAAGATATCAATTTTCTTTGCATTTCGAAATTGAAAATTTATATCCTGAGATGAACATCGTATTACAACTGATATACCTGTATATTCACCAGAAACATTAATGTTATACATATTATGGTCCTATGGTAAATATACTGACATGAGTCATCTATATTTACTCTCTTGCCTCCTGCACAGAAAACAGCTGATAGACCGGGTACAGTACAATTATATAACAAGTTTACAGTTAACCTTAAAGTGACAGTCTTAACAAGGGAGAAATTGGATTCAACATATCAACTAAACACATACTAGGTCATGAGGGTTATGAGGACAATTCTGGCCAAACAGTGTCTATGAATTCCAACTGACAAGCATGCCAAGGTGTACACGGGATCATCAGAATGACCAGATGCTGTTCCTTGAACAACGGACATGGGAGACCACACCGGAAAATCTAGATGAACTTTGTCGGCCAATACCGAAATCATTTCCAGTATACAGTAGAATAACAAAATTGTCCCTTTATAAAGTGAAATGAAATGGGGTTTATCCCTACTCCTACTGTTCTGCTCTGACTGGACTATACAGTGTGCTATGGGAGACATTTTGCCTTGACTTCAGCGCTATGGCCTACTCTTACATTGAATTCCAACTGCCAAGGTTTGTTTTTATTTTGTGCATGCCAATGCGTACACAGGACTTTGTTTTTTTGTCTCATCTGAACAACTATACATTACACTGACAAGGAAGAACCATGCCGGAAAATCCTAATGAACTTTCTCGGCCAACACCGGGATCGAACACCGGACCTCCATGTTAGTGAGCCAGCGTCTTACTCCCCAACGTCTCTTTATAACGTAAATAAACTATTTATATTCCAGTAGAATAATAAAACACCAATTAAAGCTGACATCTCCCCCTTTTAATGGTAACTAAATAACCAAATTTGAAATGTCAAATATGGGACTAGCCTTACTAATAGTTTATCATGACAGACAATACTGTTGTTAACTATATCTTTTTTACATTCATGTTTCTTTTGATCAATGAATTCAAGTTTTAAATAAAACATTTCTTGCAATTTAGAGAGAGAGAGAGAAAAATGGGGGGGGGGGGGCGGTACGTCCACACGACACAATCTAGGCCATTTCAGGACTAACATATGGTTCAATTTTATTTCAATAATTTGCTAGCGTGTATGGGTCTTTAGCAGTGGGAAGAAACCAGAGGATCCAGAGAAAACCCAGGAGATTTGAAAGGTGACCCTACTCCTTGTCACTTACAAGCGGGGAATCAAAACCATGGCACTTGACTCAATGACATACCTTATGATCTAACTTGCATATGGAATCTAAAAACTCATTTCATAAATATTTTCATCATATGACAATCTAAATCCATAAATCCTAATACAGGGTATTGCCATTTTGAGTCTACACTAACTGGTAAAAATGCCTAAAACTATACTCGGTTTATTCTATGAAACTGCAAGGTTTGATTGTTATATTTGTAATTTTTCTGTAATTATTTTTACATTGTTTCCATACTGTTCTCTATAGAATGGAATAAAATGTTATCTTATCTTAAGATATTTTTCTTAAAAAAAAAAAGTTTAGAAGAAAAAAAAAGATCCTACCTGCTTCATCTATTGAAGCTGAAGGTGACTCTCGACCCTCTACATCAAGGGCTGGACAAGACGTACTGAAACGGGCAAGACTGTCCTTTCGTAAATCCTGAAATGAGATAATCAAACACTTATAATCATATTGACAGACAACTTCACAGACTTGAAATGTAAACAAAATGAAGTGGAGAAATGAACCACAAATCAATAACCAGTGGACTAGTTTTGAATGGCTTCGAGCACATTTATGTAGGTGTTCTTGGAGGTGTGTGTGTGTGTGCGGTGTAAGGGGGCGTGAATGAGGACAAGTCCTAATCAGAAACAACGTATCTAAGATGACACCCCCCAGCGATAAGTGTCTGAATGATCTTAGTAGTGAGGCATTGTTCAAGTTGTACCTGATGTTTTGAACTCATATTGTTTGTGTTGGCATGATATATCTTGGAATCAATGTATCACGCATTGAGTCACAAGACGCTGAATCAATGTATCTTGATTTTTTTTTTTACGTTTGCTCGCTTCAGTATGTAACCTGTCACTCTTAATTATCCATGTTACACATTATCCATAGGTAGGCTACACAAACACTCTTATTAAATTGTTCTGGTCCTTATTTTGATCTACATCAATATTGTGTTAAAGAGCAGTACATTTCTTCAACATCGGCAAGACCCAAAATTTGATTTATTCATTTATTCTGTTCTTTTCTTGGTGTATATTAGCCTGGTTATTAATCGTGATATGAATCATATCGTAGCAAGCACCTGTATCGCAATTCGTATCGTATCGTGACTACAGTGGCAATACCCAACACTATGAATATCATTAAGATATAAATCAGACAAAATGTTAAAGACACCAGTGGAATTGTGCCTGAGAATGTCTGTGAAAGGTGTCTGATTTCTAGGATTGAATTCCTTGTTTCAAGTTATACCTTCATAAGTTAATGATTACTAGGATAGTCTTAAAGGACTTCAAAGAAAGGAATGTGTGGTAGATGTTGAGCTTTGTCACATGGAGGTCCCGTGTTTGATTCCAGTGTTGATCGATAAAGTTGCGACGTGGTTTCTCCTTGCCCGGCAAAGGACAAAAAACTGAGGTCCCATTTACACATTGGCATGAACGTAAAAGAACGTAAGGTTAGGGTGTAGTGCCACTGTCTAGGCAAAATGTCCCTCATAGCACACCATATGTCATTAACCCAGTGCAGAACAGAATACGTTAAACCCCATTTCATTTAAGTTCATTTCTACACTGACTGGGCTAACGATGATGGGTGTATCAGACAATGTAGTCTACCACTCGATCCGATTTTAAAATTAAACATCCTTGTATTATTATATTCATAAATCAATAATCGCCCTAGTAGTATTAAAGGGCTTTTATGTCTAGAACGCAGGTGTGACAGTGGTTGTTAAGGGGGTGGATAACCTCAAATAGATATATTTGTTTCATAATACGACAACAACCGGACAGAAAATGACGAAATAATAAACATTCTAGCTATTTTGATAAATATAATAGATAATCTGAACCATCATTGAAATCTTTTCTCACACTCCTTGCAGTGTTTTGTTTGGTTAGAACTAATCCCACTTAACACTGCTGTAATGGAAGCAAATTTCTGTTCCAAATTATGACTGGTCAATAGTCCGATTAACAACCAACAGCTTACTGCGTAACAATATCATTACACTTTAAACAGAGCTCCAAATTGGACCAAATATGTTTCCATAATGTTATGTCATGACTCACGATTTTGTTATGCCAAATTAACCAGTGCATAGCAGAATATTGCAGAAAAACTAATTGTGTGACAAACGGGGCTATCAAAATGAATACAATGTAAACAATACTGTTTGGAGACAAACATTACTTTCACCGTTTTTAATACCTTAAATCACTGTCCAAAGTTTTAGGGAAGACCCCAGATAAAACGAAGGGATGTCATGTTGCTGTACTTGGGATGGATTTGATTGAACGGGAAAAATAGACACATTCCCTAAAAAAGCTCAAGTATCAGAAGCCAATGCAGCAATGGCCAAAGAGGGATTTCTCGGGCCATTGCTTCAGGAATATGATATTTTCTATGTGTCGTACATCCTCCTACCAGATATATTTACGTGATCTGATAGTGATTTTGTTGTTTAACTCTTTCAATGTCGTGTGTGACGTATCTGTGGTTTTGTCTTCTGAACTTATCATTGTAATATAGGGACCACAGTGGCTCAGTGAGTAAGATGTTGGCTCGCTAACCTGGAGGTCTGGTGTTCGATCCCTGCGTTGGCCGAGTAAGTTCATCTGGAATTTCCGGTGTGGTTCCCCCTTATCAGTGGTGCAGGACAGATGGCACATCATGGTTAGTGAGCCAGCATCAGGAATTAACCACTGCTTTATTCACTCAACACAACTAGGTCATTTTGGGACTAGCATATGGTTCAGTTTTATTTCAATAATTTGATTGCACGTAGAAAACACAGGAGGTTGGACAGTCGAGCATAATCCTTGTCATGTACAAGCGGTCAATCAAAACCATGCCACTTGACTTAATGACAGATCTTACGATCCAAAGCACACAAGTTAAATCATTTGGCCACCCATCCATCCAAAATCCACTGTGGCTTCACATGGTAGTATGGTAAATATAGCGTATAATATTAATATGGAGCTATCTAACAGGTGGTCTGTACATATAATTATTCTCCATCATTATTTCATATAATAGCTAGATCAATTGTTTATATTGTATTATTATGGTTACTCCAATTATATATTGTTCTATACTTGTTATTAATGTGCTGGATCAACTGAATATTGTATTCATGGTGAGAGAGAGAGAGAGAAATGAGTGTAATGTCCATGACACAAACTAGGTTAAATTTTATTTCAATATTTCGCTTGTGTGTATGGGTCTTTAGCAGCGGGAGTGATCCGGAGGACCTGGAGAAAACCCCACAAAGTTAGACAGACGACCCTAGCCCTTGTCACGTACAAGTGGGAAATTGAAACAAACACCACTTGACTCACTGACAGACGCGCTTAACCTTTTGGACGCCAACTGCCTCTATTTATGGAAGTCAATTTGATAAAGAGCAGACTGAAATGCTGCTGTCCGGGCAAAATCTTCCCCATAATCTTTATTAGCCCGGCTGGTGGAGAAAAGTAGAATGACAAACTCCATTCCATGTCATTTTTCACTCTAATACATGGATAAGCTAGGTGACTAGAATAGATTAACATATGGATGTCATGGGGTTACACCATCTTTACATACTGTCAAAATTAGAACTTGTAAGTTATACTATAAGTATGCTGATAAATCTAATACCTGAGTAATTTGTTTGTGAATACTATTTTCTTCAAAATAACAAATCTATCTTCTTCATTAACTGCTGTTGTAAATAAACATATGTATTAATGTTGTTTCTATTTATGTCTCGGCTCAAGACTGTTTCATGTATTAATGTCTGTGATAGTATTACTACGTTTAAAGATGGCTTCATCAGGTCTCTAAATGAAATGAAATAGTGTTTATTGTTCAAGTGTTCTGCACCGACTAGGCTAACGAAGACGGAAATTCGCCATGCAGCACGATATGGAGGATATTGTTCGGATAAAGAGACTATGGCCTACTCTTAATTGGAATTCCAACCCTCAAGGGATCTTTTACATGCATGCCAATATGTACACAGCAAATTGATATTTCTATCCCATCCAAATGACGAGATACTGATCTTTGCCAGGCCCTCCATCCATGACGTAAAATTACTTATCAAGTCGCGAAATATTATGCAAAAAAAACTTGGATTCAATAGGATTAAAAAGAAGCCCAGGATTTGGATTTTATCAAATCACGTAATTGTGTGGTAGTGTTGTGCCTTTATTTCAGTGAGAATTAGTTTATATCAAGCTATGTACAGTATAGTTTGGGATCAGTTTAATTGGAATTTATGAAGTCATATTATATAGGCCAGTCATTTTTTTTTTAAAATCAAATGATTACAAAACTTGCTCAAAAGACGTCTGTAGAATCGTCCACTATACTATGGCTGGAGGCAAGATGGAAGACATCAGAAGTGGAACCATTTCTCTACTCATCCCAGAATAATTTTCACAATATCATATGAGACTAACCTATGAATATTACCGCCAGTGGCACCAAATACGGTAAAAGTGAGGTAACTACTTGCAGGCATATTCTGTTTATAACTTGTTTGGTCTATTAATAGTTTCATGTTATTTATGTAAGTTGTAGGTGGGTGCGAGGAGTTGTGTGATCACCTTGTCTTATCTTCTGTATTATTAGTGGCTTTTTACGTTGGTTGCGCTGTGTCGTTTCATCAACTCAAAGATTAACTTGTCTGTACTCCTGACTTTCTCTTCTCTATCATGCTGAACATGAGTAGAACAAGGTAGATTATTTCACGGATAAACAAACGCCTTGATATCTCCGTCAATATGATCAGATCAAACTAAGTAACTGTCTATACATTTTTATCTATTGAGCTGTATACTGCGTAGATTGTTATGTGTAAAGTGGGCGAGGCTAAAGATGAGTAATATAAAGATAATATATTAATACATATACCACACTTTACCAAAACAAAAGTATGATATAACAGTATAACGTTTGTCTTCTCAACAGTTTCGAGTATTTTTTTTTTAGCTACATATGCAGAGCGTGTGAAAGAACTTCCTATGTATCTTACAACTTCAAAATATTATACAAAGCAAGCCTATTATAAAATGGTAACATATTAAAAGTGATACAATTTATCAAATTTACCAACTTGCACAATTTATGGCAAATATAAGTTTTGGATATGAAGCATTCATTTTGTATTTTGTATTATGATTATCAATAAGGAGACAAATTAATATAAACCTTTGACTTGTTTGTGAATCCTTACATTTTTTGGCAATGCTTGTACTTTAACATGAATCTCATCTGAATAAAATATTGTTTAAATAAAGAACTTTCAACTACCCAGGGATGTTAAACATTCATCATCATGTTATCTGCACCATTTATTCAATCAGAAACAATCTGTCAAGACAGGGAACCATGGTGGCTCAGTGAGTAGGACCTGGAGTTCCTGTGTTCGATCT